ATTAAAAATAAATATTTACAGAAACAGCTAGGTACTTTACTTTAGATTAGAGGCCTTGTTCAGACCAACCATTAACCCATTAATCCAGTCAGAATTAAACTCAGTACCTTTAAGCAGGTTTAACAGGTAAGATATTAAATGTTCACAGCCTTTCCACAGAACCCCACTTTTAAAATTCTTAAATATCTTATTAACTTCTTTAATTTGAATTAGTTTAATACTTAACATTTAATACAGATAATTAAAACAAAACAGTTTGGTTTGTGTGTCTGTGCATGATTTTATCTGTGTTTATAGTGTGAGTTTCATTGTCTGTTCTGTTCCTAATGGGTCTAAATGATGACAGATTTTGTTGTTTGTCGTATTTCGCAGGACTTTTGTTACCCATCCTCCTAAGCTTTTCATCTTCATCATAAAATGACTAAAGTAGGAAGATCTCACTCTTTTGGTAATTTGACTTTTTTCCCTCTGAAGTTTTCTCATCCTGGCCTCGAGCTTTTTATTCGACGACCATCTAATAAGTGCTAAGTGCTCAAACGGAACAGAGAAAGCCTTTTGTGTGCAGATTGCCTTTGTGTGCGGACTCTCCACACAGCGCAGGCACAATGCAGCATAAATATGAAGAAAACGTCAGACCTTCACCTTCAGCGGAAGCCCTCCCCCACCCACCAGCCATTTGGTTCTGATGCTGTGAAAACCCAGGTGAAAGGGAGGTATTTTCAGCAACCAGCTGTGTGCTAATACTGCTACCTGACACAGTCTTAAAGAGTTCTTGATAAAGCTTTTAAAGGCCATCTTTGCACCAAGGGGAAAAAAAATCCTCCACATGGTGAAGCAAGGCATGTCTAGTCATTAAACGTGTCACGAGCACTAAGGGTCCCTCTGAGCAGCAGACTGCTAACAGCATGCCTACAGGGGGTTCAGCACAGCTTGACGATACCCGTCCACTGTTTTGCTCCAGGCTGCCATGCATAGAAAGGATCAGCCATGTTAGGTGAAGTAAGCAGTCACAGGTTAATAAATCCTGTTCTGTTTGATCATGCAGGAAAGAGCTCAGGCATGGCCAGCATTAAAACTGTTCAGTTTTGATCCCCTTTTTACCCAATTTTGATGATACACACTGAATATTTTAGATGTCGGTTCAACAGCACGTGACTCTGAGCCGTGAGAGAATCACAAAAGTGTCTGAGCAAAAAACAATTATTCCTAATCTCTGCCCCATTCACTGGGATGGCCTTGCACTCCTGCGCACTTTGTGTACTTTTATCAGGTCTGACATCGTATGAATGTGGAAATTTTCACCTTTACCAGTGTCACGCAACAAAAGCGTTGATTTAGGAGCAAGGTTGCTTCTGTTTCTGTAAAAAAAAAAAAAAGAATAAATTCTTAAATTAAAAAGCTCCAGAAAATGAAGGATAGAAACAAGAGGAGGAAGTTTCTCATCAGGTGAAAACAAAAATGAAACAAGGCGGCAATGATGAAGAGGAGAAAGGCCCAAATAAACGAAGAAAGCGTATTCAGGCAAATTAAAAATAAAAAGAGAGAGTGAAAAGGAGCAGGGGGGTTATCATTCATCATGTGAAAGCCACCGAAGGAGAACTCGTTTAATGAAGCATTCAGCCTCTTACATCTATGGATCACCTCATCTCATTTTGACTAAGCTCATTAGGCAAAAAAAAAGTTAAGGTAGCTGTCAATCTGCATATGTGCGCTCCGAATGGAACGCATTACCACAGCGCTGCCTGAAAGACAGTTTTACAATGTGCCTTCAAGGATCACAGCAATTCACAGGAACACTTACAAGGCCCCATTCATACAAACACTGTATGATTAGGTGGGCCTGGTTATGTTGCTTCTCTTGTTTGATTTTTGTCTAAGCGTTCGCAGCTCGATCAATGCCTCTTGTTAGTCCTCGGGGACGGCAGCTAATTAGCAAAGGAAAAACCCAATTCAATACAGAGCCTCCCCCCCCAGCTTCCCACCCCTCCTCGTTTCCCTCAGCCGCCCCTCGTATCACAAAATGGGATAAATGCCGCGCTGGATAACTCAGTTATTTCTAAGCCTGGGATGAAATATTTCCAAAAGCATTTGCAGAAAACCAAAATAAGAACGTTTCACTTTCATCGATCAGATGTAAAAGTCTTGGTTATTTTTTTCAAAAACCAGTTGTGTAAAATAAATAAATAATAATAGTTTTTAAAATCTCAACAAGGAGACAACAGAGGAAGGGAAGGTCACAACTTTAGGCTCACAATGCAGGCATTAAAAAAGGCACAAAATCAAAGATTCACTTATTTGTGCAGAAAATCATCATTGGGTCTAATTAAAGGTTTAAACACGAGATATATAAAAACAATTTATTAATAAAAAAAGAAAAAAGTGTTATTGTCAAAAAGTTTTGTTCCTGCAGTTTTTATAGTTGATTTTATTCCAACAGATTATTAACAATAAATAAATAAACACTGTTAATATATTTCATATCCAAATCAGGAAAATTGTGATAAATTAGGTTTGTTGTATTTGGCAAATAGTTTTTAAATTGTGTGGGGGGGGGGGGTGCATTTGCCTGAACATTTCCTTAATTAACATTCTGTTAGATTTATCAGGAAGATATCACACAGCCTTTTGAACACACACACACACACACACACACGTACACACATGTTTTTCCTTTTAAGTCAGTTTCCGTACGGTAGATGAGACAAAAGCTACGCGTTTTGAAACACTCTGTTCTGTTCACTGTGCCTCAGGCTGCCCTGTTCTGGCCCACCTTACTGTATCAATAACAAAGTAAAAACCTCTAAATGAGTGAGATCAAGCGCTCCTCTAATATCATCATGATTACTATCTGCACATAATAGTAACAAGGGGTGTTAGATGGTTTTAGATCTGGCTTGCTGTGGGGAGGGAAAGGGGGCAAGCCGAGGCCTGCCGGGAGCAGCCCTTCTGTGTCAGATGAGAGAAGGAGAGAAAGAGAAACCTGTGTTTTCACTCACTGATATTGTGATCTGACAAACCACTTGTAACGTCAGATGTTCAGAGATCCTCTGAAGAAGGAAAGAGAAAACAAAACAGTCGAGCACTACACGCTTGATCTCCCTTCATAAGCAAGTGAAAAGAAAAACGCTGTGTCTATCAAAAGGAATTATCCTGATCTGATAGAAACGCTTCAAATCTGTTCAGAGAAAACCTGTCTGAAAAATTTATCGGATGCTGCTAACGACAAGAGCTACTGATAGCAATTTGACAAGATCGTACTTCAAATTTTCCTCAAGAGTCACTTTAACTATCATTCATACTAGTTTAGTTGACAAATTTTGTAACAAAAGCAATGACTGTTGATTTACTGTGTAGCATAAATCTTTGTACATGTTCTCAATTTAGAAAATCAGTTAACTGCATCATTTATGATGACTGATTGATCTCATTTCATTATTTTTTATTAACTAAAAAATCTCCTGTTAAATAGTGCATGTGGAAAAATAGTGAATATTTCAACGTTATCCATGGTCACTTTTAGATTCGAAGAATTCCTTCAAAATCTTGACAATTTTAAGTGTTCCTGTATGTTTTTTTTTCATTGGTTGGCACATCCATCCATTCTGTTTATCTGCTTCATCCTTTAAGGGTCGTGGGGGTCACTGGTGCCCGTGTCCAGCAGTCACGATGTGAGGAGTGGGGCTGGACTGGTTGGTATTGTTTTTTTTAATCATATACACGATTCAATCTTCCTGAAGTTCTTTACACCCAACAACCCTACTTCAGAACAATTCAGGATTGCAGCAAATTAGACATGCTGCCAAATTCAAATGACTGTCACTCTGGTGTATGCAGTTCTCGTGTCTGTGATACTCTACCACCACTGCCACTGTGATCCACCTAGGACCCACATATGCAGCCACTATGTTTATCGACCCTTAAAACCTTACTACGAAACTTTTGTACATGCTTAAGACTGTTGTGACTCTGTCATAATGCTGTTTTTATCTAACTGAGGACCTTGCAAAGGTTTTTTTTTTGTTTCGGGCATCATCATCCAGTGGGAAGGAGGCTTGTAAAGATGTTTTTTTAATTAAAAACAATTAATGTTGTCCAGTGAAAGATTGCCCACAGTATGTGGCAACTAAATGGAAGATCATGCAAGGCTGAAAAAGTACAAGTCTGTATTTAATTTTCTGCAGACAAACAGGTTAAAGCAACCCCCAACCCCTAGTATGACCATCAGATAAACTGAGGACTTGAGGCTGATTTTTCTTTCACAAGACATAAGATAATAGATCTGCAATTACTTCATTTGGAAGGTCTTTTTCTTACTGAGGTTTAATAGTTGTGTAAAAGATGCTAAATCATCATAGCTTCTTCTTCTGACCTCCCAAAGCACTCCCAATGTAGCATAAATGGTGCATAGCTAAGTATAAAAACAACTAGATGCACTCAAATAGTGCACACCTCTACCAAAACCCTAGGGTCAGTCACCCAGTAAAAAGTACCCGGTGCAGTTAACAATCAAAAATCTAAAGTTTTCCCTGGTTTGAACACGTCACAGTTGAGCAGGGCAGCGCTGCTCAGCTTCAGTTGTTGAGCTATACTGAGTGAAGGAACACGGAGTTAACTGCATGGACGGTTTGCAGGGGGATTCAGAAAATGAAAGACTGAACAAAAGTTGGAGAGACCATTATTAAAGAAGGGAAACATTGTGCACTTCATGTAGCTGATGGTCGATTTGAGGTGCTGCCATCTTTAAAAAGGGACCATTTTCAACAAACTGATATGCAGAAGAATCATGGGCTGCTCTGCGTGAACAAACAAACCCTCAAAGTTTCAACCAATCACACAATGAGTGCCACATAGGCCTCCAAGACAGCGTTCTGACTGAGGGCAGTGTACAAGACAGGGTGTCAGCAGGAGGTATATGACGAAACTTACTAAATTTCCAACCCACAAGACTGAAAGCAAGACGTCAGAATGAAAATATACATTAAGTCAGCCTTTAGTCTTACCATCTTGTTCTGTCTTGGTCAGTTCCACCAGCTTCTTCTGTTTTAAAGTGTCCACCACGTCTGCCAGACTTCCTTTGCGACGCTCTGGAGTCCCAAATGTGAGGCCAATGATTGGTTCGCCTCGATCCCTGGAACATTCCTCTGGTTTAGGTGGAGAGGTAGAGTTAGTCCGGTAGGTGTAGACTGAGCAGCCCTTGGTGCTTTCATTGTCCTGAGAAGAAACAGCAAAACAAGAGTTCAGTTCCTTACCCCCCAATTTACACTGCACACGGTAACACTCTGGTTTGAAGCTCAGAGGTTAGCGGAGAAGCGTGCATAGAAAAATGTGAGATTGTGCATTAAATTCAGTGATAAATATGGGAGTCAGACCAAATTCATTCATTCTGTGGAAGACAGACTGGAAACACAACAGCTGAAACTGCATCAATTTTGGATGATGCTTAGCTGTGGCATTGACATAGACTAACTGGACTAATAAATGTCAGGTTCAGGATTGTCTTTTTGCTTCTGACAGAACACAGTGATGATGATGATTGGATCTAACAGTCATTAGGAGCTCAGTGGTGCCACTACAGGATCTTTTATTTTGCTTTGGGTCACTTGTTTATGGCCTCGCTGTGTGACTTAGTGTGAAACATTAACATCTGTTTTCCAAATGAGAAAAATCTCAAACTCTGAACTGTGCAAACACTCTTAGAATAAATGAGAGCAGAAAAAATAAACTTGAACCAGTGAGTTGTTATAAATGCAGCTGCTTCGTTCTGCTGGAAAAAAAAGAGATCACTTTCGTTCGCACACAGCGGTGAGAAGGTGCAGCTAAGCAGAAGTAACTCAAATGATGCTAACTTTCATACCTACTTCATGTTCATACATTTTTCTTTAGGCTTCAGCCTTTTACCATAAAACATCTTTTAGACTGCTGATGATTTTTTTTGTCTTGGTAAAAGCCAACCAAAACTCAGAAACTTGTTCTATCAGCTTAAAGGTTTTGGACGGATCATCAGATTTTGTGCTGCGTGAAGCGAGTACGTATGTCATGCTGGTGATTGTTCTGCTGGGTTAAGCAAAAGGCACAAAGAGTCTATATTTATCAAGAAGATAATCCCTTTGAGATGACCATATTGTCCCACACAACAGACTTCATCACAGGTGTCCTAACGCCGGGGCTATTTCAGGATGCTTTCTCCATTCCTTACAGAGTGTGGGGGGATCTCCGAGAACTTTGGGAGGCTTATGTTTCAAAGACAACGGGCTTTGGTGAACAGCAGGATCTTAAGACGCCCTTGAAATGGCTCCAAGGGGCCCTGTTGTGCACTTTGTCTTTAAGCGGGAGATGCCTCTGTAATGAGGATTGGGGGATAGTGTGTCACTGAAGGATTGTTCAGGCGTGTTTTTTTTCTGTCTGCACACAAGGAGTTATACAACCAGAATGGTTCATGCAGGGCGATCTGATGGTCAAGTGTGCAAGTATGCAACATGTGTGAACTTGTAAATTCGTCCCTCAGGCAGAGCAACTTGAAAAGATTCTTTGAAATAAACAGAATCTGGTTTCAAATTTTCAAGCTTCCAAATTATGTAAAACGTAAGAAAATTGCCAATTCCCCAGAATCAAATCAGTTGCTTTCGATTGACCAATAATAAAATGAAACTTAATCTAAGTAGACAAATACACTCACCGGCCACTTTATTAGGTACACCTGTCCAACTGCTCGTTAACACTTAATTTCTAATCAGCCAATCACATGGTGGCAACTCAGTGCATTTAGGCATGTAGACATGGTCAAGACAATCTCCTGCAGTTCAAACCGAGCATCAGTATGGGGAAGAAAGGTGATTTGAGTGCCTTTGAACGTGGCATGGTTGTTGGTGCCAGAAGGGCTGGTCTGAGTATTTCAGAAACTGCTGATCTACTGGGATTTTCACGCACAACCATCTCTAGGGTTTACAGAGAATGGTCCGAAAAAGAAAAAAACATCCAGTGAGCGGCAGTCCTGTGGGCGGAAATGCCTTGTTGATGCCAGAGGTCAGAGGAGAATGGGCAGACTGGTTCGAGCTGATAGAAAGGCAACAGTGACTCAAATAACCACCCGTTACAACCAAGGTAGGCAGAAGAGCATCTCTGAACTCACAACATGTCAAACTTTGAGGCAGATGGGCTTCAGCAGCAGAAGACCACACCGGGTGCCACTCCTTTCAGCTAAGAACAGGAAACTGAGGCTACAATTTGCACAAGCTCATCGAAATTGGACAAGAGAAGATTGGAAAAACGTTGCCTGGTCTGATGAGTCTCGATTTCTGCTGCGACATTCGGATGGTAGGGTCAGAATTAGGCGTCAACAACATGAAAGCATGGATCCATCCTGCCTTGTATCAACGGTTCAGGCTGGTGGTGGTGGTGTCATGGTGTGGGGAATCTTTTCTTGGCACTCTTTGGGCCCCTTGGTACCAATTGARCATCGTTGCAACGCCACAGCCTACCTGAGTATTGTTGCTGACCATGTCCATCCCTTTATGACCACAATGTACCCAACATCTGATGGCTACTTTCAGCAGGATAATGCGCCATGTCATAAAGCTGGAATCATCTCAGACTGGTTTCTTGAACATGACAATGAGTTCACTGTACTCAAATGGCCTCCACAGTCACCAGATCTCAATCCAATAGAGCATCTTTGGGATGTGGTGGAACGGGAGATTCGCTTCATGGATGTGCAGCCGACAAATCTGCGGCAACTGTGTGATGCCATCATGTCAATWTGGACCAAAATCTCTGAGGAATGCTTCCAGCACCTTGTTGAATCTATGCCACGAAGAATTGAGGCAGTTCTGAAGGCAAAACGGGGTCTAACCCATTACTAGCGTGGTGTACCTAATAAAGTGGCCGGTGAGTGTATTTTGCTTTTGATATTCAAACTGTGGACGAAATATAAAGAGAACTAAGATCAAAAGAAATGTTAAAGCTGTTGTCAATTGCTCTTTATGGCCACCATGGTAACCACACATCTGTGTCCCTCACTCCCTGATAGCATTCTTAATAAGACAGGCAGTCAGAAATGCAGAGCTGCAAAAATAGATTGTAATGCAAGAATTATTAAACTGTAAATGACGGTAAATGAAAGGTTTTTACAAATTTCAGACTCTTCCCTATCAAACTGCAGCTATTTATTTCTTTTTACTTGGCTTTTTTTCCCCAAAGCTACAAGAGATGTGCTAAATTGAAATTCGTCAAATTAACAAAAATATAATGGCTGAAAAGTAATTTGGGTGCTTTAGTGCTTGATAATGTTAATGTTATGTTGTGCTAATAAATAAATCTGAACAAAAAGCGGATCTTCACTCTTTTATTTACTCAAAACTCTTTGAATTGGTTGCCCTTTTCCTGACTTTACCGAGGCAATGCTTTCTCCTGCTCCAAGAGCTGCTCGTTGTTTCCGGGCCTAAAACTACAAGAGCTCCCTTTCTGTAAAGCTTTGCAGGATTGAGGTTTTTTTTTTTTTTTGCCCTGAGGTGGCTCTGAACCCTGATGTTGAAGCAAAGCAAAATCAAAGTTCCTATAACGTTTCATTGAGCTCAAACATCTTAGAAAAAATGGGTTCTAATTCTCATACTATTAAAATAATGTTTTTTTAATAAACAAAAACAGTCCAAATATTTCTATTTTTTTTTTTTGACAAATCACTACTTGTCTGGGAAAAGGAAGGTTAGTTTTGCAATAATGATGATACCAACAGAAACCTTATTCCAAGAACTTTCCTAAACTCAGAAGCTCAACTCAAACCTGCTTCATCCATCAGGGACCAACAGAACCTGAAGCCAAGTTCTACCACCTCAATGCATCCACATACAAACACCTGAAAACACGCTGAGTAGATGAGAAGAATCTGGGGTATAACTCTCTGGAGGAGGACCCTCAGAGGGCTGCCTACAGCACTGCCTGCAGCAAATAGACCAGAGACAACTGCTGTTGTGTGTGTGTGTGCCCAGTGTGGGGGTTGTGTATATGCATTTAAAAGTGGGCACACAAGAGTACATGATCATCATTATGCATGAGAATTTGCACACCCTGTGCGCTCCAACATGTATTTCATGAGTGTTTTATGAGGTGCATGCCCCCAAGTGTGTTCACTGTGTCCACACAGCAACCACTTCTGTTTTATAGATGTGAGTTATAGCGACACATCTCGTGTTTGGGCATGGTCAGTTTCTTCGCTCCGTGCGTAATTCACTTCTCACCATCACAGCAGGGCCGACGTTCTCCCACTCAGCATCTGTCGGGTTCTCTCTGGCAGGCTGAAGGTGGTCTGGGTGGGGCTCATCATGCGAAGAAGGCGACGCCGTCTCCTTTGGGCCGTCGCGCTCGTCTCCATCCCAGGCCTCATTGTCCCGACCAATCACTTCCGCCTCCTCAGATGATGGGTGAAAGGGAGGAGTTGCTCGCAGGGAAGACATCCTTCTGTGAAGGGGTGAAGAAAAAAAGAGAAAAGGGTTTTGGTGTTCTTGGTTTGCTTTGTGTGATTTACAGTCTCGTCATGAAGGAAAGATATAAACAAAAGTGACATGAGAACATTAAGAAACTCGTGCTGCTGATCTCTTGGTGAAAAAGTTACCCAAGAGGTTAAAACACTTCAAAACAAACTTTAACTCTAAACACTGCCAAAACAACAATGAAAAAAACTTTCTTGTGCTTGAAAACTTTCTGGTGAGTGAAGCTGCTAATGGTTCAAGAACTCAACCAAAATAACACCATACATGTCAAGTTGGACTGATTGTCAGCAAATTACACAGCTTTTCCAACATTTTGCATGCACACAGATAGAAAATCAAACAGATTTTTTTCCCAAAATCTCAGCTTCAAATTTGTTTTATGTCAAAGCCTATATGGAAATGCTAAATCTCTTCCACTTGACTGTATCTGCTCCATCACAGACTTCATTATCAACCCCCACACCCAGCCCCTTGTCCTTCGCTTTGCTTCTTATGAGGGTCTGGACTCTCAGCTATGGAGAAGTGATTCTTGCTGGAGGCGTGGCCTCTGTTGAAGTTTAAAATGATTGGATCGGTTTGCCGCGACGTATGTGTGCCAGCTACACTGTGAAGGAGGCTAAGCTAAGAAGCTAACCAGAAATCGTATGCGCTGTAAACAATCCTACTGAGAAGAGAGAAGTACCGAGCCGAACGAGATGACTGTAAATGAGAGCTGCTGCTTTGTCAGACAAATTTAATTTAATTTGGAAGCCTTATCAACATGAACTGGTTTCATTCACTTCCTTCACTGTCATTGCTAAACTAACTAGCAGACACTGTGCAGAAAATTAGCGTCGTTCAAAACTCCTCTTTCTGTTCTCTGATTGGCCCGAACAAAAATTCTCCTGAAGAAATCCTTCTCTATGGGAGAAATCCCAGATGGAGCAGTGAAGGGAAACTAGAGCTGAGTGGAACTGCATAGGAAGGCAAGGGCCAGGTTACCACACCCCTTGTGTTTTCTGAGAGTACTGCAGATTTTTTTTGTGAAATTTAGGGATTTCCAAAAGTCAGTATACAGGTAACACTCGAAAGGGCTGGCATGTATGTAACACATGTACGTAGCACACAAAACCATGTTTCTGTCTACACCTTTTGTTTTAGTTGTGAGTGTGTTTGTCCGTTGTATCCACAAAATCTCATGAAAAGTGAATGGATTATTTTAATGAATTTCTCAGAAGGTAAACATTGGATTTAACACGATTGAGTCAGGTCATCTGGACAGGTTCTTCTCTGTTGAAATGTTTTTGTCTTTTATTTAATAGACCTCTTCAGATGTCAAGTGCCAGGAGGACTGTGACCAGTTATACATCAAAGAAACACGCAGCCACTGTTTAGAGGATGGCCCAACACAGAAGAGCAACATCATCAGGCAAGGACTCTGGTTTACACTCATCTACAGGCCAGCGGCCATTTTTTTCAGGGATGACGATGCTCTTATCCTTGATAGGGAGGAACATTGGTTTGAGGAAGCCACTTTGTGAAAAGAAACATTTTTAAATTGGGGGGGGGGGGGGGGCTTTCTGTCCAACTATCCCCCTCTTACAGTGCTGTTATTGCGAGTATCCCACAGCTTTCTGTGAACAACAAGCATCCATCAGAACTCTAATGATTGGCTGTTAGGCTGATGGTCAACTAGATCTGGGTGTCACTGACAAACTGGTTGATCCACCATGTGAAGGTACTGCTTATGAGGCTTTACCTTGATGTAGTTCATCATCACAAATCCCGCAAGTGCTAACAAACCATGCAAAACTACACATCAAAAATATAATTTACAAGGTTTGACCAAAATACTTGTAACAGCATGTCAGCAAGAGGATTTTAGTTTAAAACTCAGACGTAAAAGGCATCCAGCAACATGCAGTCCTTCAAGAAATGCTAGGTTTTTAATGTGTTTATTAGCTTGAATACCACTTGAGTTTGGAAAAAGACTGTGGAATGGACCGCAATCAGCATACACTCTGAGTCTTGTGTGACTATCTGTGATGAATTATGCAAAGAGCTCAAGATGTTAAAAGAAAAGCTGTTGTAATATTCCACAGCATGCACTTTTTTTCACAAATATATTCATTATATATTTACTCATTTTATAGTTACATGTGAACACAAATTAAATAGTCTTATGATTAGTTTGCAAATGGTAGTGTGTGCTACTTTTAGTGTATTGTTTTTTTTGACCAAACACAGTTGGTCTGTTTCACAGATGACGGAATAAAAACAAAAAGCAGTTTAAAATGTGAAAACATGAACAGTTCACACACGTCATATTTTTGCATTTACAGACGCATTTAAGGCAGTTTACATACTTTTAAGAAAACCTTTGCTCACAAAATAAACTCACACGGAGATACAGTAATCTTTAATCTACTTGGAACAGTAAAAATATGTAAACCTCAGATTAAGAAAAGTAGTTACCTGCAAGAAGTTGTTTTTTTTTTTGCTACCTGTCATTGTGCTTTATTAGATATATTTGTTCACCATATTCTTTCTTAAGTGATTTCAACCCTACGTATTTGTTTACAGGTTTTATTTTCTGTTTTCATGTGGCAAAATGAAAAGGCAGACACATATGTGCACATGCACACACATCTATGCACAACTTTAAAGAAACAAACCAAATTACTATGTGATAAGTGACAGGTCATATATCAGCTGGTTAAGGGCACAAGAGGGGAACTCAAAGCAGTTCCACCTATCGCTCTCCACACACATACACACAAACACACATCAGAGAGGCAAAACAAATTGCAGCTTCAACATTAGCGTTCAGTAAATCAAAGAAGGCTGTCCATCTGAAATACAGAGCCTCTTTGGTGCCGTAAGCTGACCCGCAGGTTAAGAGGAATGAACAGTCCTGCACTTTGTGGTGAAACAGTAAAAAGTGATTATTATTTCCTTTAAAGAGATTAATAAAGATTTAGATGTAAGCCTTGGGGGCTCGGTTCTTGGGGTCTCTCTCGGGGTCTGTGGCTCTGGTCCCCCTTATGTTTGCCTTGGGTCTTGGGGCTCGGGTCTGTGGTCCTCCTCAATCACTATTTAATATTCCACTGGAGAAATCTTGTATTTATATACATGCTCACAAGCGCACATAAATAGACATTTGGATCCTGGGGTTTCTGACAATCACTGGATGTATATATGTGCATGTATATACAGTATACTGTATGTGTGTGTGTGTGTGGGGGGGGGGGCAGGTATGAGTGTGTGTGTGTATGTAGGTATATATGTATGCATGTATATGTGTGTATATGTGTATGTGCCTGATTGTGTGCGATGGTCAAATGTCGGGTGTGGTGTCCTGTGTGTTATTGGTGTTCATTTCACATGTTGTATAATGTCTATCGGTTTCTCTCTTTACTGTTCTTATACTTCTCTTGTACTTTTTCTTTTTCTTTCTTACTATAGTATTATAAAAACAGATGTAAAATTATTTATATGCCAAAATAAACATGCTGCAGTAACAATGCAAAGATCAATAGATTTGACTGGGAAGAAAAATAGACTTGTGTGAGTTATAGAACAGAAATTAAACTAAACACTTGTGCTGCACATGAACAGCGTGACTCATAAAAACGAGCAGGATTCCTGTCTGCTCTGATTGTTGTTGGGAGGCCGTGTGGGCCATAATGTTCTGAACATGTCCCTGTTTTACTGCCTCAAGCTGGAATGCAGCGTCCAGTGACTCTGTAACGCAGGTTAAATTAGAGGAGGGTCGCGGGTATATGGGCACGAAAAGTGAAACTCGCTCAACTCTGACCTGAAGATGGTGGAGAACCACTAATAGTACACCACTGCAGCTACATTACCTGGGTGGCGAGAACAAACTGTACCGATTATTTTTCTACGTTTGGAGCGGATTCAAAATTTTAAAGAAAAAAAATAGGAATTGCATTTTATTTTCTCTCAAAAAGTTGTTGCAATTGTTCACGTAGTTCCAAAAAAAAAAAAAGACAGACTGCGCACAAGTCAAGCATCTGTGTTTGTGCTTAGATGCAGCAACACAAAAGGCGAGGAAGACCTGCATCTGTGAGTTCCATTTTTAGGCACAACTTCAACTTTTGAGAAGACGTGCTTCCATAAGATCTGTCAGACCTCTGCTCAGCTTCCAGCAGCTTCATTTAACAGTGTGGGGTCTACACTGACCTTCCTGCAGTCCAGTTCAGTCTTTTGTTAAAACTGTGTGACTAATAATGAAAAGGAGAATCAGACATTACAGACTGCTGAGAGGCTGAAATTTAGATTTATACAAAAATTTCCCATGTAAAACTGCAATAATTTAGTCTCCTAAATGATCAATAAACCCTTTTCTTTACTACTTTGGATATTTTTTATATGGATGTTGTTTCTTTCCATCTATATTTAAAACTTTATTCACATAATTAGTACAAAAGTACAAAAATATATTGCTTCACTAAATGGCAAAATGTATCCATTATCAAAACATATGTCATGTATATGTCATATATACATAATAAATCAATATACATATAAAAACATGAGAAAAAATACAGTAGCATGAGAGACACAGATTACATCATTTCTCTTAAGCATTGTTTTGAGTTACAGAGCAATTCAAATATCAGTTTTTACTCTACAAAAAACTGTTTAAATGTTGCAAAATATTTATATTTTCTGTCATCATTTTCTCAGTTTGTTAGTTTTCTAAATAAAATAAAAAAATAAAAACTCACTTTTTTATAATGTGTCTCTCAAAACATTACTAATTACAGATTTTATTTTAAAAAAAAGAAATAATTTGACCAGATAGAGTTGACCTAAGAAAAAAAAGATCACATGTTCTCTATTGAGGGGGCAGGACCAGTCTGCTGTACTTAAATAACTGTTTTTATTCATTTGAGGCCTTGTCCAGGGGTGGACCTAGACATTTTTGCAAGGGGTGGCCATGGCAAAAAATCACTCTGAGTTTAA